ACAAATTACTATAATGTAACATGGGATTGCACAAGAAGATATCTATAATTTTGACGAGACTGGCTTCACTATGGGCCTAGTAGCTACTGCCCAAGTAGTTATTAGAGCTAATTATTATAGAAAAGCATCTCTTGTACAGCCAGGCAATCGACAATAGGTTACTTCGATCGAGTGTATTAACTTTACTGGTTAAACTCTTCCTCCATGTGTGATCTTCAAAGGGAAAGTCCATATAGAGGGTTAGTATCAAGATAATAAGCTCCCACGCAATAGTAGGATTAAAGTTAGTCCAAATGGATAGATTACTAATAAGATAGGCCTTCGCTGGCTTAAAAATATCTTCATTCCTATTACTTCTAGTCGTACGACTGGAAAATATCGTTTTCTGATTCTTGACGGCTATAGTAGCCATCTTATACCTCAATTTGATCAGCTCTGCAGCGAAAATAACATGATTCCTATCTGCATGCCTACTCATTTTTCTTACAAGCTTTAACCTCTGGATGTCGGCTGCTTTTCACCTTTAAAAAAGGCGTACAGAAAGTTGATAGAGCAAAAAGCGCGTCTAGAAATCAATTATATTGACAAATTCGACTTTTTAAAGGCCTTTCCAGCTGCTCGCGAAAGCGCTTTTTAATCAGAAACTATCAGAAATAGTTTTGCAAGCGCGGGCCTAGTTCCATTCAATCCAGATAGGGTATTCAGTCAGTTGGATATCCAACTAAAGACCCCTACATCACCAGGCAGTTGATCAATTAATTCAGTACCGAAAACGCCTTATACTACTAGGCAGTTAAAAAAGCAGGCATTTACTACAAAAAGACTGCTTAGAGAATGCGCTTACAGTCCTTTACCATTGCTAAAATCACGATTAAACAAGATTATTAAAGGTCATGAATTGACTTTAAATGAGCTTGCTTTAACGTGTGAAGAACTGCGCAAATATCGCGCTGATAATGAATGGAAAGGTCAAAAGCGCAAGCGTTTTACTAGGTAGCTAGCTATTGCAGAGGGGCCACCTATTCAGGAAGGCCTAGAGCAATTCCAGCGCGAGAATGAGGTTAATGAAGCTCAAAATACGCTTCCTATAGATCCTGCACTTTCTGCAGTTGGACCGCGCGTACGAGCGCCACCGCGCTGCAGTGATTGCCATAATCTAGGACATAGGCGATTGCAATGTCCTAATCGAGTTTCTAATTAATTTTTAGATAGAAATGCAATTGCTTAGTTGATAAAGGCCCTAGTAATTAGAAGTTGGTAGGCGGTGGCTGTTACCTCCTGAAGCCAGGGGGCTTGGGGAGAACGTTCCGGAGGATCAAGGGATCCTCTGCGGCAGGCATCCAGGAACATTCCTAGGGATCCTGCAGGCATTCCTGCCTGAGGCAAGCTCCAGGCAGTATATAGAGTCCCTGGATTCTCTCTCCTAGATAGCCTTTTCCTCCCTATGGGAAAATTCCTTGACTACGAGTCATAAACAAACTAGTCTCTTACTAGGCTCCTTTGTAGACCGTCACAGTGGCCGACTCGGTGGTGTGGCCGACTCGGTAGGGAAATACATTAGTCACGTGATGTGCCAGGAGCGAGAGAGAGGGGTGTGCCTGTAACACTCCCCAACAAATAAATCATCAGAGACAAGTCCGCGCACAGCCCCAATGACGCAGCGAACACCGCCACAGAACGTGACTCGGTGATTTCATTTGCAGCTCAGCCTTATTAAGTCAGCAAGACAGACTGAAAGGTCTCACTTGCCCGAATGTGACTGGCCGCCGCCCGTTCGTCAGGAGCTGAAAGATCTTTCTTCGTGTCTTCGGTCCTTTTCTTTTCCCTTTCTCTTTTCCCTTTCCTCCTGACCGGACTGAGGGAATTGATTTCCTTCGAGCCTCTCTCTCTCTCAACATAAAAAAACTTAGTACCACGGAACAACCCCCTTCTATCCGGAACCCGATCACCGGAACCCCCAAACGCTTCCCTCTACGCCCACCTGACACCCAAGATAATTCTGCCGCCGACTCCGATCAGGCCCCCAAATTCCCATCCTTCCACCCCGCCAGGGAACTCGTCCCGCCCATCTAAAGGGATCGACATCATGGACGCGGTAAACTTGCGCCGCAAGGACACCACCAAAGGTCCGCCGCTTCGGATTCTGTCGCTAGGTAAGTAGAGGTATACATTCCCATTCATATCGAGTTTTCGGGCTAACAAATCAGATGGCGGTGGCGTCCGAGGTTACTCGATGCTCATCATCCTGCAGGAGTTGATGTATCGCATCTACGTCGAATGCGAAGGCAAAGCCCCGCGGCGCGATCAAATTCCCAAGCCCTGCGACCATTTCGACCTCATTGCCGGCACCGGCACCGGCGGATTAATTGCTCTCATGCTGGGGCGCCTGCGCCTCGACCTCGAAACCTGCAAGGAAGTCTACGTGCGCATGACCCGTCGAGTCTTCGAGACCGACAAGACCATCGCCGGCATTCCGTATCGGTCGACGTTGTTCAAGGCGTCCAAATTGGAAGAGGCCATCCGCGAGTGTGTCCGAGAACATACCATTTACGAAGCTGAAGGCAACGACTCGTCTCCGGGCGGCGCTCGCAACTCCATGGCCAGCGCGCCCTTCAGTCCGAATTCTCTTCCGCAGCGCTCCGGCAGTCGCGCCAGCTTCAGCACCAGCACGTCACATTCCTCGAACCCGAGTCAGCGAGGCTCCGCATACATAAACGGTCTCCGGTGGGGAAATCCAGACGCGGCGTTGTATGATAACCGAGAAAATCGGACCAAGACGTAAGTTTTTTTTTTTCTCAGTATACTCAATACATCTATCCATGGACTAAGCTAATGGTGTAGTGCCGTCACTGCTTTGTATAAAGGTACCACGCGGCATGGAAGCTCCGTGCTCCTCAGATCCTATGACTCCCGCAAGGAGCCTCCACCCGAATTCAACTGCACGGTATGGCAAGCTGGTCGGGCCACGTCGGCGACCGGGCTCGCTTTCAAACCCATCCAGATCGGTCAGCACGTGTTCATCGACGAAGGGGCTGGCACGTACAATCCGTCGCCGATAGTTCTGGACGAGGCCGCCGTGAACGAGTGGCCCGGACGGGAGGTGGGCGCGTTCATCAGCATCGGCACGGGTCGACGCCCGTCCGGCACCAACAACCGACAACACGAGTGGTGGGAGGGCTTCTTCGGCGATTCGATGGGCACGTTCGCCGAGGCGCGACGACGACTGATCTCCAAGATCGAGGGCTGCGAGGATATCCACAAGGACATGCTGCGCGACCATCTGGCCAAACGCAACGTGAGCAAAGACAACTACTACCGGTTGAACGTCGAGGTGGGGGTGGGTGAGTTCGGCATGAACGAATGGAACCGACTGGTCGACATCAGCACCAACACCCGTCGGTACCTCACGCGACCGGAGGTGAAGAAGCAGATTCTTGATGCCGGTGTGAAGTTCGCCAAGATCGAACGCATGAACCAGCGGCTAGCGGCCCACCAGGCGGCCGGTAACTCGGACATGCCCAACTTCCAGGACGACTGTTCCATGTATATCCAGAGCCCCCGACTGTCGGTGCCGCCGCCGCATCATTTCGCCGTTGAACTGCCCGCCGAACTGCCGGGCGACTTCGTCCTGCACCCCCCCACCAACGCGCCGCCCGTTGACGACCGACTTCCCGTGCATCCCACGCCGCAGGATACGGTTATGCCGTCGCCGGCGCGAGGGTCGGGCAGTGATTTCGGCAGTTTCTGTCCCAGCGACGTTAGTCGACCCGGATCGCAACAGCACGGATCCCCGCGACGGAGTATGGACCACATGTTCGAGCATGGCGCGCCGCCCGTGCCGCCGAAGACCCCGATTCCCTATCCGCCCGACCACCCGAGCGAATTGGGAGAGGTCCCGATGCCCATGCCATTGTCGGTCGCCAGTCCCGGGCGGAATGGCAAAGTGCGACCGCCGTATCCCGTGGATGAACCACCTCCGGTGGTGAACAAGCAGCGAAAGCCTAGTTACCACGTGCGGTGAAGAGGACGCTGTTTTCTGTATGATGGATGCATCGGATGTTGATGAATTCCCTTTGTTCTCAGTCCTTTTTTCTCTTGTCTATTTGTTTTTACGAGTGAGGCCTTGGGACACCTATGGATACCCGGATGAGTTTTTATAGCAATATCAATATGAATGCATGATGAATGATGAGTCAGCCAGTTGTGCACTGCCAGAAGTCTTGGCGCGGTCTAGACTGAAGTAGTCAAATGCCTAACCAGACTTTAAAGATAGTTTCCTCTATACTTTAGACGGTATATCTACACTCTACAACTGATAAACAAAGATGACAACGTTCCTTCTCAGCACTAACTACCCACTGTTGACGTCCTCCGTACTCCTATTTAAATCCATAATCTTCGTCCAACAGAACCCCTGAACATGTCCCCCCCCCACCCCCAAAGAGGCGTCATCCTGACTGACTTGAATTAATTAATTAATCTCCGTCCCGTGAGTGGCCCTCCTGGCCCGCCCAACCTCGTGCTTTTTCCCTGATCGGCCCTTTGTTTGTCTTCCCTCCCTTTTCCTTTTTCCTTCTTTCTTCCCCTTTTGCATGCTTCTTCACTTCTCTTCACTTCCCCTGATTTGACACTTGCCACGAGGCGCCTATCACTGTCCCCCTTCCTCCCCTTATACGCTATCCGCTTTCCCCTTTGTTGAATTGCCGCCGTGACGCTGCGTTGCGTCCCCCGATCTAATGGACTAGCGCCGTCTTACCTATTTATATCTCGACTCTTTTTTTCTTTTCTTTTCCTTATCATATTAAGTGTTCGGTGTCCTTTTGTCTGAAACCTGAGGGCATATTTCTTGTACGGAATACTCGAAGTAAATTTATCTAAACCGAATATATAGCGACCGTTACACGCGACAACTCGTCTCACCGACACCCGACCGACCAGACACTGCTGGCAGTGTTGTATACCTCCTGGTTCCCTCTCCCTCCCCCACCTCTCCGGGTTCCATGGATTTCTCCGTCCTCGAAGCACGCGCCGAATCGAGCGGTCGACCCTCATCCTACAAGGCCATCGGCGTTTCGCTCGCCGTCGCATCAGGTGTCTTCATCGGTGTCTCGTTCGTGTTGAAGAAGATCGGTCTGCTGAAGGCCAACCTCAAATACAATGAAGAGGCTGGCGAGGGGTACGGCTACCTGCGTAACTTCTGGTGGTGGACGGGCATGATCCTGATGATTGTGGGCGAGATCTGCAACTTCGTCGCCTATGCCTTCGTGGACGCGATCCTGGTGACGCCGTTGGGGGCGCTCTCCGTCGTCATCACCACCATCCTGTCCGCTATCTTTCTAAAGGAGCGCCTCAGTTTCGTCGGCAAGGTCGGCTGTTTTACTTGCATCTTAGGTTCCGTGGTCATCGCCATGAATGCGCCCGAGCAGTCGTCCGTGAATAATATCCAGGATATGAAGGCCTACGTTATCACCCCGGGCTTCTTGACTTATGCTGGAGTCATCGTCGTGGGGAGTATCATCACTGCCGTGTGGGCGGGGCCGCGATACGGCAAGAAGAGCATGTTCGTCTATATCAGCATCTGCAGCACGATCGGCGGGTTGAGTGTGGTGGCCACGCAGGGACTGGGTTCGGCCATTTTGGCGCAGATCAACGGCGAGTCGCAGTTCAAGGAGTGGTTTCTGTATGTGTTGTTGGTGTTTGTTGTGACGACGCTGCTGACGGAGATCATCTATCTAAATGTACCTTTCCTTGAGCTATCCCCGTTTGATGTTGTTTGATGGCTAACGGCGCTGCAGAAAGCGTTAAACATCTTTAATGCCGCCCTCGTCACCCCCACCTACTACGTCATGTTCACAAGTGCCACCATCATCACGTCCGCCGTTCTCTTCCAAGGGTTCAAAGGAACGGGCATGCAGATCGCCACCGTTGTCATGGGATTCCTCCAGATCTGTGCGGGAGTGGTGCTGTTACAGCTGTCGAAGTCGGCCAAGGACGTTCCCGACGCCGCAGTCTTCAAGGGCGACCTGGATCAGGTGCGCGAGGTGGCCACGCAGGAAGAACCCGAGTACGAGCCCAAGGCCGATTCCATTCGCGGGGCCGCCGCCATCATTCGACGATTGTCAACGCCGCGACGCACGATGGAGGCCGAGGAGGCGCGCCGGTATTACCGGGAGCGACACGAAGACCAACAACACCAACCGGGAGACAACGAGATCATCGAGTGGGATGGCTTGCGCCGGCGCAAGACCGTTCTCGGCGAGGGCCCGACGATGACGCGAACTCGCACGGCCTCGATCAAGAAGAATCCGTTGCCGCCAATCCCTCCCCTGCCCCCATTGGGCATGTCCAAGTTCCCCGACTACGAAGAGGAGACCCACCCCACGACGCAGCAGACTGGCCATTCATTCCTGGACGAGATGCGCCCGCGGGGAACCAGTCGGTCCTCCATCTGGCAACCCATCCCGGAGGAGCACGAGCCGGGTATGGACCCGGTGTTGCTGTCGTCCATGTCTGGACAGGCACGCCATCACCCCGACACGAGCTATCGCGGCCACCAACGCACCGAGACGCCTCGGTCGGCGGTGTCGTTTGCCGAGGTAGACGCAGTCGAGCACAGTCCGGCCAGACGCCAGTTCTCGTTCAACATGTTCCACCGCAACAAGACGGCGACTCCCGAGGCGCCGTCTCCCAAGCCAACGCGTGGCATCCTGCGACACAGTCAGCACAGTCACCACTACCGCAGCGAGTCTCAGGCGACGGAAGAAGAACGGCTCGGACTCGTCAAGGGGGATTCCCGCCAGGAAGAGGACGTAGCCGACGAGCCACTCGCACGAGCAGGTTCCATTGACAGCGAGCGGGGATTCGAGCCCGGCCCTGCTATCAGCCATCAAGGACCGAGTCCCGGTCCTCCGGGGTACTACCAAACGATCAGAGCTTCTGATCCCCATCATCACCACCAGCCCCCTCCCCCGCCATCGGCAGCCACATCCCGAACACAACGGAACCCATTACCCCCGCTGCCCGACGAGGAGCCGCTGCAGGACCCGTATGCGAATGTCGAAATGTACAGCGATCATAATCGACACGGATCGACCGGCAGCCTGGGATCCGGGTCCTTTTCATCGGGGCCGAGTCACGGACGAGGCCATGGGTGGCGTCGTCATTCGAAGACGGGAGAGGATGTGTACTTATAAATATGATTTCTTGAGTGTTTGATGATTATGACCTTGATGATGGGATTTTATGTAGTATGAATGATATGATAATGATAATGTTCGATGAGTATGTATGAGTGTGTATGTATGATAAGAGTGCATAGTTATATGGGTATCACAAGTATAAGAAATCATCAATCATAACCCCAGCTCCAACACCAACGTCCAAACTCCAAAACAAGTCTAGAGGTTAGTCAACTCGAACATTGATCGAAGAAATCACTTCCCCGCAGTAAAAGCCAACACACTCATCTGCCTCTTCTCCGCCATCTGCATCGCAAACCTCGCTTCTGACAATCTCTTTCCCGCTTTAATACTCTCCAAGACCCTGTACAAGCGAGGCCAGCGAGACCCAATCTTTAGCAAGCCTTCAAACGAACTCACATCAAATCCATCAGAGGGGGGAGGGGCAGGGAGAAAGACAGACAAACCATTCGACAAAAACGACCTTCCAACTCCTACACCCCGCGCGGGCAATCTCTCTCTGCAATTTCCCGCCGGCAAGACCCCCACCGGAACCGTGTCCGGGTCTGGTATTCGGTTTCCCGACGATGATGTGCGTTACGCGACGGGAGAGCGAGAGGGAGATGGTGGCGCCGTGGAGGGTGAGGATGTGTTTGAGCTTGTGGTCGGAGAGGAGCGGGTGCGAGGCGGCGTTGATGTAGATTGTGAGGGTGCTGAAGATTTGGGGGTGGGTTTGGGTTTGGAGGGATTTTGGTGGGTTGGTGTTGGCGTGGTTCTCGGGTTCGAGTTCGGGTTCGTTGTTGTTGGGATGGGTTGTTGGTGTCATTGATGAGGGATGAGGGTCGCAAGGTGTTTCCGCTGGTGTTGATGGTGTTCCTGTCACTGTCGAACACTTCAGACCCTCACCCTTAGACGAAAGGAAAGGTTTCACCCCTCCCACGGGCATGACCCCCGTATCCCCCGACGAAGATTTCGCAACTCCAAACATCCCCCTAATGTCCCTCTGTCCTCCTCGTCCTGGACCCGCATCTCGATTCCGATCACCATCGAAAACCTCCACCCACGTCCCTCTTTCCAACCCCCCTACCCCTGCTCCTGTCGCTCTCCCTCCGCTCCGCTCCCTCGCAAATGTGCAATCCCCCTGTCCCTCGCCGAACTGTCGCGCTATTTTCTCTTGTCGTATCGTCCGGTAGGCTGTGCTGACTGCTAAGTCGGCGAATTGGTGGCCTGTTGAGGAGGTGGTCCAGGGGTCGTAGCGGAGGTGGTTGGCTGGGGTAGGTTTTATTGTCATTTTCGTTTTCCTGGCGGTGGTTGTTTGTTGCTGTCGCGGGTCGAAGTTGGGGTGGGGTGAGTTGTGTTGAATATGAGCTCCAGTGACACCCGGGCGGAAGTGCAGTGAATGAAGGGTTGAAGGTGAAGAAAGCAAAATCCGGATTGAAAAATGACGCACGTACGTGCACCCATGGTTCGTCTGTTGATGTTTTGCTCTTTCGGGGCTAGCGTCGCATATCTATAGAAGCTGGCATCCTCAAAGGACGAGCTGAGTCGCATAGCTCGCGCACTAAAAGAGGCCCCAATATTCGAATGTTGTAATTTTGGTCGAATTCTGACAATATCAAGATAGGTTGCAAAGCTGCATACCCTACAGAAAGATTGTAGGGGCGCTGGAAGTGAACCGGGTAAATCCCATCGCTTCTACAAGCGCTGTATGGGTGTATGACCTGCAGGGAACATTCATCATAATATTTAATGCTTCACTCGATGATCATTCAAATCCAGGGATCTACCAAACTGCCTAAAGAAAAGGAAAAAAGACTACCCCCACACATCCTCCTGCCACTTATTCCGTCTCTTAATCCCCCTCCGCCACTCGTTCACCAGCTCCTCGTCCTCCCACCCCTTCGCATTCCTCATAACCCCGCCGACCACCTCATCCACCTCCCTCGCCATGCCCGCCCGTCCACAGATATAAAAGTTCGCCCCCTCGTCCATTAACCGTACCATCTCGTCCCCATTCTCCCGGACCCGGTCCTGCACGTAGCATTTTTCGCCACCCGTCCGCGAGAACGCCGTCACGACACGCAACTTACCCTGCAGTGCCGTCTGCAAAGTCTCTAGCTCCTCACGGTACAGGAAATCCTCGTCCGGATGCCGACAGCCAAAGAAGAGGATCATCTCGCCGATCTCCCGGCCGATTTGTTGCAGTTGGCGCCGCTCGGCGATGAAGGCGCGGAAGGGCGCGATGCCGGTCCCTGCGGCGACCATGATGAGAGGGCAGCTTCCGAGACGCGGAAGTTTGAAGCGGCTTTTGCGGAGATGCGCGAAGACTTTACCGCCGGTGAGGGCGTCATTGGGGCCGGTGAGGTGGTAGGTTAGGCCGTGCGGGTGTGTGGAGGATGAGGACTGGCGGGTCTGGGAGATGGCGAGGAGGTAGTTGGAGGTGACGCCGTGGATGAGTTGATCGGGGGATTCAGGGACAGGCGTCGACGAGACGAGGACGGTGATGGAGGCCTTGCGCGGGGAGACCACGCTGCTGGAAGAGATAGAGTAGTAGCGGGGCTGGACCGAGGGCAGAGTTTCGACGAGGAAGGAGAGGGGCAGCTCGCTCCAGGGGGCGTCCGGGCTGGCGAGCTGCAGCAGTCGGCCCAGGTTGACGTGAGTGCGGTTGAGGAAGGCGGCGTAGCGCGCCTTGTCCTGGCCCAGCTCGACCAGATAGGTCGTTGCGGCCGGCGTAGGCGCGAACTGCGCCAGGCCGAGCACGTTGTCGCGGTTCACCGGCGCGCAGATCTCCAGGTAGTATCGGAAGAGTGCGGCCGCCGTCGTAGGCGACGGGATCTTGACCTTCGTGGCCGGGTCGACGGACTTGATGCCGATGGGGACGTCGCGACGGGCGGATCGTCCGAGCGCCTGGAGGAGGCGCTCGACCTCGTCAGACGGGTTGCCCGGCCAGATGGCCAGGTGGTCGCCGGTCTTGTAGCTGAGTTCGGGGTGGCTGGTCAGGTCCAGATTGATGTGCAGGCAGTGGCGCTGCTCCCGCTGCTGCTGCGTGTCGGAATACTCGAACAGCTGCCGGGACGAGGCAATGTCCAGCGGCCGTACGGGCGAGCACTGCGCCGTGATCCGCGAAGAGTCTCGATTATCAGGCTCGCCGTGGTGCAGGTCAATCGGCTCTAGGGACCCGTCTTCCTGGACGGCCAGCGTCGGCTCGTACTGCGACTCCTTCTCATCGAACCTCAGTTGGCGGGTGAACTCGGAGAACAGGGCCTCCTTCCAGCCGATAAAGTCCTCCTGCGTGGCGCCTTCGGCATCGTTCGCCCTGCCCACCGGCATGAGGGACTTCGCGCCCAGCCGGTCCAGCGATTCCACGACTACATCCACCACCCGGTTGTAGTACTTGTAGTTACTATTCCCGAGGCCAAAGGCAAAATACCTCAGATTACCCAGGCTCACCTCCTCTGTCTTCGCCTTATTCACCCAGTCCCAGAACTCCGCTGTGTTATCACTGGGGTCGCCCTCGCCGTACGTCGACAGCACAAACACCACGACCTTCGAGTCGGGGATCTGCGCCACGCTCTCGGGGTCAAAGTCAGACAAATCCGCCGAGAACGCCCCCACGCCAAACCGCAGGGAGATCTCGCGCGCCAGACGATTCGCGAACCCCTCGGCGGTGCCGGACTGCGAGCCCCAGAACACGACGAGGTCTTTCTCCGTCTCGGCCAGCTTCTGCGCGATATTCCGCGTCTCCTTGCTGCCGGATCCGGCGCCGGACCCGTACTTCAGCTGCGGTCGCTCAAAGGCCAGATGTGCGTAGGGGTCCGGTTGGTCCCAGAGGAAGCCGCGCGAGAGGTACGTGGCGCCGGCCATGGAGAGAACCGTGAGAGCGGCGTAGTCGGCGACTCCATTAGGGATCATGACTTTGGAGAGTTCCTGGAGGAGCTCTGGCGGAATGCGCCATTGAGAGAGGGGGAGGAAGAGCAAGCTCATTGTGATTCATTCATAGAATTTCTGAACAAGAAGGGCCTACCAAGCGGAGGGAGGGTATCTCGATACGAAACGAAAATTAACAGACAAACATCTATCTATAAATTCCCATCCCATCCTGACGACATCACACGTGTGAGATCGGACTGAATTCCCCCATGGGAAACATAGCTGCACGAACTGGTCCAGAACCTCCGCACTCACGTGTCAAGAGTCGCGGTCGGCGTTTGACCGACTTGTTGAGATCATCGATATCCAAGACGCGGCATCTGCAGTGAGACACATCAATCAGGTGGTGATTCAGTGGAAAAGCAGGCAAGCGAACCCGATGCACAGCTAGCTAGCTAGCAAGCAGATGAGGCAAACGCGGGGAACGAAAAAGATCGACGGAATGCGAAGGCGGGGAATGTTTCCCTTCTCGATGAAGCCCTAACTGCTTCCTTCTTCGGCTCCCTCCTTCCTGTAGATCGACATCATCCCCCGTCGGCTATAGTCGAACTCTCTCTACTATCTACTGGATGAAAGACGATGACTAGATGGTTCAAGGAGTCAGTGACCAGGGCCAGGCCCTTCTAGACTGCGGGAATATAGCCCTTAAAAATCTGTTGTAGGCACACGGTTTACGAGTGGCAGGCTGATCCTGTCATGGATGAACGCCATTCATTATGTTAATAGAGTTCTGATAGATTCATTGATTGATATATGAAGTGATAGTAATCTCCTTTACTAAGCAACAATATCTAGACCCAGATCATCCAGGGAATATCGTTCATAGATAGCAGTTCGACTTGGTGCTAATGACGACGGACAATAACATACTATCACGAAGCGCGGATACACTGATCAAAATGAAATTCATAGCCCGTTAAAATGTATCCTATCCCTAAATCTAAGTCCCCAGTCCTCACCAGGAACGGATATAAATGAAGTTAAGAAGCAAATCAATCAAAAAGGTCATAGATCGGTCCTCCGCCACACCTTCACCGGCATATCGCCCAGAATTAAATTCATCGTCTCCAACCGCTTCAACTCCCACCCGGGATGCGGCAACGCAAACTCATACCGATGCACCACCGTAGCCAGGACCTTCGTCTGCTCCAGGTACGAGATATTCCGGCCGATGCAGGAGCGCGCGCCCGCCGAGAACGCCACGAAGTACGGCTGCAGCGCCTTGCCTTCCTCGCCGAGCCACCGCTCGGGGATGTACTGGTCGGACTTAGGGAACGCGCGCTCGTCATGGTGCGCCACATACGCCGACATGCTGACCGACGTGTTCCCGGGGACCCACTGGCCCAGAATCTCCATGCCCTCCGGGGGCGTTTCGCGCGGTAGGCCGTGCGAAGTGGGCGGGAAGATGCGGAGGGATTCGTCAAGACAGGCGCGCAGGTACGGCAGGTGCTTGATCTTATCGTAGGGGGCGACGATCTCGTCCGGGTCCAGCACGGCGTCGAGCTCCTCGCGGAGGGTGCGCAGGCAGGCCGGGTTGCGGAGCAGTTGGTACATGACGTTGGCGATGGCGATGGCGGTGGTGACACTGCCGGCGTTCATCATGATGTTCATCTCGGCGACGACCTCGCCCCATTCGAGGTTGTTGGCGCGCCCGTTCTTGTCCTCCATGAGGGCCTGGAAAAAGTCTTCCAGCTTCTCGCCCGCCTCATACCGGCGCAGTCGCTCCATCGACCGCCGCCACACGATGTTCTCCCAGTCCACGGACGACTTCTGCATGCGGTTGAACCACGGGATCACGTTGACCAGCTTGTTCAGCGTCGGGTACCATTCGTAGTTCCAGAGGATCAGCGATTGCTTGCGCGCCGTGGGGTACAGCGCCTGCCGCAGGTTGACCTCATACGTGGACCCGTCCTTGCGCTCGGCGATGCAAACGTCGCTGCCGGTATCCAGGAAGCCCAGTTTCTCGGACAGCCCGATGTCGGCGATGGCATCAAGGGAAAAGAAGTTGGTCCAGGCGCGGAAGTCCACCGTGAGGTCGCTGGGATCCGGGGCCTGCGTGCCGGCGGCCACCGCCGGGTTGGTCGGTGGTGCCGTGCAGACCTTGTCAAAGTGGGCGACCACCTTATCGATCTTGTCGCTAACCTTGTACTCCCAGGCCTCCAGGTTCTTGAGCGCGTAGGCCGACGAGAGCACCTTACGCTTGCACGAGTGGTCGGGGCGGTCGACCACGTCGGCGAGATTGTAGTGCGTGCCAGACGTCACCACATACGAGGGGTCTTTAATGCAGCGCGTGTTGTGTCCGTATATATCCTTGATGGCACGCACGTCGCCATAGGATAGCATGTTGGGGCCCGTGCGGATGATGGGCTTTTTCCGATGCATCTCATGCAGTTCTTTCGATCGGAACCCTCGAGAAGCGAGAATCATGAAGGGAACAGCAGACATGCCCGAGAAGAAATTCATGTTGGGATACCGGCGGAGGCCTGTCTTCATTAGTATTGATCCAGATTGAACCACGCCGAAAGAACGGCTTACCTTTGGGATCTCGAATGTATCCGACAAACGGACCGACCACGAAGTACATGAAGCCCACCAGCCCTAAGACCGTGGCATAGGGGGCGACCGAGACGAGAGACAACATGTTGCGGTGATGTGGGGATGACAGACAGAGAAGAAAGATAGGTATGAAGTGGAAATCACCTTCGTCTGTTGATTCTTCTTCCCTTTCCCACAGTCGAGATACTTATATTCTTCTACCCTCCAACTCATCCCTCGCGATGACCTTCTCCCCCACGGAGGGAGCCACCAAACGCATATCCCACATCACCGTCTTGGCCAGAACAAGTTTGCATCCCCGGACGGGAGGGGACGGACAAAGTTACTCTTCGCAGCGCCCATGCTAGTGGCAAGGGCGAGCCACGGATCTGCAGCCGTGGGGAAAACTTCCGCTTTCAGCACATATTCAGAGGAGAGACATTCCCTATCAGCTCCATTCCAGTCAATTCACTCGATCAATCCCCACCGGTCCGGTCCCCTGCGTGTCATCTGCGCTTATGACAACATCATCATTGGCGGCCTCGAGCTGACAGGATCTCTCTTCCCGGGCGGGACGGCATTTGCCCGCGATGGCCCCAAGGCGCAACCCTAATCCGACCGGTCCGTTTATCTTCAGGGATTGGCGGCGTCTGGGGAAACCGGGGAAAACTCCACTTTCTCGGCTCGTTGATTTAGCTTTTGATTGCGTCCGTCCTGGGGGGAGACGCCAGAGAGGCGAAACATGACGCCTAGGGTTGCAATAGCCGGTGTCTCTGGTCCAAGTCATGGCGTGAGGGGAAGAGAGCTAGGGGTAGTCGCTATATCTAGATGTTGTTCTTCTGGTGAAACAAGACACGGAAGGGACAAGGTTAGCCTGTAGTCCATTCCCCTAGTCTGTTCTGACTCTTTTCAGACCATTCTCTCTCTCCGTTTCTTATTCCTAGTGTCTGCGTGATCAGACCGATCTATTTTGCCATTTGATTGATTTAATCCTACCCACAATGGACGCCGGTTCCCTGAAAGCCATCGACGACAACAAAGCGGAAATTATCCACGAGGAAGACCTCGCCGCTGCGGACCTGCTTGATGACTCCATCGAGAGCACGCAACCGGGCAAGGCCATCTGGCTGATTGCCTGCACAGTCTCCATGGGCGGGTTCTTGTTCGGTGAGTGGTACCTCTAGAGCTGTCATGCACGCATATGTCACGAAATAGCATGTAAATTGACCCTGGATGATTACAGGCTATGACACCGGCGTCATCTCCGCCGTCCTAGTCAATCTAGGCTCCGACCTCGGAAAACCCTTGAGCTCGAACGAACAGGAATTGATTACGGCCATAACGTCCGGCGGTGCCCTTATTGGTGCTGTTCTGGCGGGGCTGACTTCCGATAAGTACGGCCGAAAGCTGGCTGTGTACGCGGGCTGCGTGTTGTTCTTCATCGGCACCATAATTCAGGCCGCGGCGTATTCGTTGGCCCAGATGACCGTCGGCCGGCTGGTCGTCGGCTTCGGCGTAGGTGAAGCCGCCATGATCATCCCCTTGTACATCGGAGAAATGGCACCGGCACGATACCGTGGGCGACTGATCGTCTTTGACAATCTGTGCGTCACGTTCGGGCAGCTCATCTCCTATGCACTCGGAGCGGCCTTCACCGAGGTGCCAAATGGCTGGCGGTATATGATCGGTATCGGTGCGGTACCGGCTATGTTGCTGGCCGCCACGATGCCCTTGTGTCCCGAGACGCCGCGGCAGTTGATCTCGCATGGCCGCGTCTCGGATGCAAAGAAGGTGCTCGCGCAGATTTTCCCGCAGGCCACAGAACAGCAGGTGACATCGAAGGCGCATTTGATTCAGCATTCCATCGAGGAGATCGCGATCTCCGTGTCGGATAGAAGTCTGCTTTGGCAGGCTAAGCAGCTCTTCACGATTGGGGTCAACGTGCGGGCTTTGATCACTGCCTGTTCCATCATGGCTGGTATGTACTTTTGTTCCTTGTGCAGGAACAAAACTTACAAAACATCTGTAGTGTCCCAGCTCGGCGGGTTCAATACCCTCATGTACTACTCAGCAACGCTATTCTCCATGGTAGGATTCAACAAGCCGACCTCCGTCTCGATTGTGGTCGGTGCAACCAACTTTCTGTTCGGATTTCCCAATTTCATCTTCATTGACCTATTCGGCCGACGACGTATGCTCTTCGTCACCGTCTTAGGAATGGTAGGTCCCTGACTGGCCTCATCCGAGAGCAATCGAAGATACTGACCATGTCACAGTCCCTCTCCCTTGTCGTCGCCGCCATCGCCTTCCACTGGATCCCCGTCAGCCACGATCTCACGGTAGTAGAAACGCGCGAGATGGGTTGGGCCAACATCGTACTCCTGGTCGCGCTGATCGTCTACATTGCCTTCTATGCGGCTGGCGTGGCACCCATCGCCTGGGTGGGCACCGAGTTCCTGCCGCTGGAAGTGCGTGCGCTGGGCACGATGATGAACACGGTGACGTGCTGGGGCTGCAACATCATCATCTCGTCGACCTTCCTGTCCATGATGAAGGCGATGACGCCCAGCGGGGCATTCGGGTTCTATGCGGGGATCTGCTTCGTGGGGTGGATCTTCGTTATCTTCTGTTATGCTGAGGTGCATAACATGCCACTGGAGAATGTCAGGGAGGTGTACGGACATGGCTTCGGGGTTAAGCATGCGAAGACGTTACAGCGGGAGATGAAAGAGGCGAGGAGGAGAGAGGCCGAGGGCGTGGACGGGGCAACGGATTAGCTTGGTAACCCTGTATCATAAGATGTTGGATGGAAGAGTCCGGTGAATGTACTGTATGCAATCCATTAGTAGCAGTAACTAGAAGCTGACGATTTCACTCAGTTTCTCGGGACTTTCACAAAGGCAACAGGTACCTTTGATTCTCCGATTATTTTCACTCCAACAAGCTGTCTCGCACGGTTAGCAAATAGGCCTACGCAATTATTCACTCCAGCCCACAAACTAGTCAACAAAAATTTAGCAGGGAGAACCCACAATTCGCTTCGAACAACACGCCTATTTCGTTCTTCTGGTTTTCTGTGTGCTTCTCACCTTTTATCTTTCCACGTTATATACTGTTTCCTATATCTGATCTCGAGACTCACCTCGCGACTGTATTAATATGTTCATGAGTCTATGAGCAGGCTTCTACCTGGTCTTTAGGATCAAATCAGTCTGTCAATCTGTCAAACGCTCAATAGCTCGCCTTCTGTCCACCATACCCACTTCACAGTGTAAGGTGTAGGGTTGTTTGTGGCTTTGTCTGTTCATCAGTTCATCAGTTCAAAAAGACTACCAACACGATATCCATCGCCAGACACATTATTCCGATATAACGCACCTCTCATCTCTCCAAACCACACATACCTTCATTCATTCAACCCCAACCCAGCCCTGACATAACAAACCATGGATCCCTACACCCACGAACTCCACATTGCCACCCTCGCCGTCCACTGCGCCAGCATCATCACCAAGATCATGCAAGCCGTCTGCGACAAAGGGTCCCGCGACAAAGAAGATGCATCACCCGTGACGGTGGCCGACTTCGCGGCGCAGGCCATCCTGATCAGCGCCTTGCGTCATCACTTCCCTGATGACCAGTTCATCGGCGAGGAGTCTGCGGCTGTGTTGCGCAAGGATCCCGAGCTGGTCGAGCGGGTGTGGGCGCTTGTGACGGCGCTCAAACAGAGCGGGATGAGACATGGAGGAGGAGACGGCCGTAAGAACGTCGATGGTGTCGATGATGATGAGGTGGCCGAGGAGATCCAGGCCTCTATACCGGTCACTCGAGACGAGATGCTCCGGGTTATTGACCTGGGCGGGAACGGCGAGGGTGCGGGAGATGCCGCCGGAAGACGCACCTGGATCCTGGACCCGATTGACGGCACAGCGACGTTTATCCGGGGCCAGCAGTTCGCGGTGTCGGTGGCGCTGGTAGTCGATGGGGAGCAGCGGGTGGGCGTGGTTGGGTACCCGAATCTCAAGGACGGGGGTGCCGTCGTGCATGAAGACGCGATCGACGATGGGGGATATGGGCTGCTGGTGTCCGCTGTCAAGGGCCAAGGCGCGTCGAAGAGGGTAATGCTGCGCAGCGGCTTGCAGCCGGCCGAGAAGCTGGTGCAGATGAGCGCCAACAAACTCGTCTTTGTGGAGAGTCTGGCCAGTCCGTACGTCAGCTTGGAGAGGCAAAGCACCGTGCGAGACCGGCTGCAGGCTACGGCACCTATCACCGATCTCTGGTCCATGCAGGTCAAGTACGGGGCTCTGATTATCGGCGCGTGTAATGCGATGGTGCGCATTCCGAAGCACAAGGATTACCGCCCATGGGCGTGGGATCATGCGGGAGGCATGCTCGTGTACGAGGAATCGGGAGGCAGGATCACGGACTTGCATGGACGTCCATTTCAGTACCGCGGAAGAAAGTTGATGGCAAACGTGGGCGTGGTGGCTGCCCTGCCCGAGGTACATGCACATGTGTTGAAAGTGGCTCGCCAGGTGTCGGAAGATGATCAGGTCTACGAATAGTTGCACATATCGATTTACTCGGATGCAAGTAAGGAACTGTCATAATCACCCAATAATATTTTTGGTAAAAATGGGAAGGAGCAGATAATATGCCCGTACACAAGAGATAAAAGAAAACATAAGAAAACGAAGGAAAAACACAGAGCCCTCGATGCATGAATGGAGAGAATAAGCCACAACGATAGAAAGAATAAGGATAAACTCTCGTAATAGGAAATTCGTCTCATCATGGTCGTTAAATATAGCCTCTCGCAAAACGCACATACCACAAGATGACCAAAGACAAGCACCATAACGCTGACCATCCCTCAATCCATGGACAAAGTGAAAAGCAGAGCGGCTCATATTTCCACCGCCTGCAGCAACAAACAAAGCCCCAAAAAATAACCATACCCATCCCCGGAGTCGACTCAGCTTCTTCCATGAGGCTAGCCATAGAGAGTAGAAGCCACGCAATATTATAATGATCGTAGACCCGATTCTTCATGGGGCCCAGGTAAACGTCCACACCATGCTTAAATGAGGTCGATGCCTGGTCCATGTCTAACTCTCAACCATTAGATCAAAACACGCCGGAAAAAACAAAACAAAAAACAAACGAAAGGAAATCATAATAAAAAAAAAAGGCACCATGTCAGAGATGTGCTGCGGTTCATGGGCCATCTTTCCCAAGATAGACATGCTGCAGGTCCTCGACTATGTAATGGCGCAGTCTATTGCAATAATGTTAGAAACACAAGGGAAATCGAGCATGCGCTCCAGAAAAGAAGCCAACTCGCGACAGGATGCCTCCCCAAATTGATTGTCGAATGGGTTACTTTTGCATATTTTCTTTTTCTCCGGTTTTAGCATTTGAGTTTTTTTAGAACCCATTCAAACATTGGTAAAACTTTTGGCGTCTATTTTCGTTGAATTTGATTTTGTTTGCTGTAAACCGATGAATCATTGTCGACGAGACATGACACCGCCAGCCTTCATAGGTTGCAATGGAAGAGGAACTCCAACGGGACCGCCAACTTCTGTCAATGTCTTACGACGCTTGGGGCCGTAGTCCGCATCGCGGCTGTCGGGTCGAACGATTCGGTCCACATCGTCATCCTCTCGCATGCGCTTGCCTGAGCCGAGAGACCCATTCATTCCCGTCGAGTATCCAGACGCGGAATTTGAAGCCATTGAGTAGTTGTCGGAGGTTGCTCCGTTGGCTGGAGTGCCGCGGGTGTCGCTGACAATGTTGTAGAGACTGCTGGCGGCTGCTGGGCGAGGAGGGGTGTTGTAACCAGAAGCCCACTGTGGGGGTGGGCCGCCGCTTGTCCGGGGAGTCATCCGCCCAGAGCCGTTCTGCTGCGAAGGAGATCCCGTAACGTCGGGGGTCAGTTGCGAGTGATCTCCCGTCAGACTGCCAACAGATGGGTTGGTGGTGTACGTATAGGAGCCCCGGCTAGTGTTGTAACCATTGTCGTGCTGCACATAGTCGGGCTCATGCTCGGGGACATGCTCAGGCACCCCATTGCCAACATGGCCATTAGTCTGCGAATAGCGCTCCGATTTGACTTCGCCCGTCTCGGTCTCTTGAGGCCCGCCAGGAGTTCGTGCGGAAGGAGGACCCATTTCGTTCTTGATATAGTTGTTGGGCTGCATGCTGTGACCGTACGAGGCCATGGTCGGTTGGCTCAAGGGCTGTTGCGGGGCATAGTGGGCGTGAGAGACAGGCGCGGTCGAATAGTAGGGCTTCGAGCTATCGTACCCAGACTGAGCCTGATACGACTGCATCCCTTGCAAGCCACTTCCAGGGGGTGTGGTAGCGGGCGTGGTCGGCATCGACCGTGCATTGCTCAAGGTGGTATCTATTGACAGGGGTTGTGAGTGTGGCACCCCGGAGTTCATACCCTGGTTCCCCCACTCGTAGGAGTGGCCTTGATTCGTGATACCCATGAGACTTGAGGCGCTGGCCGGGGGTGTAGGGAAGGCGGGCGCCCGCTCCAATCCTGGTCGGCCCTGGGAGCCAATCGTGGAAGGTTGCGGCATGTGCGAAGAAACGGGAGTTTGCAAGGAATGGTGATGATGCAGCGGAGGGGGCTGGGGCCCTTGTGATGCGCGAGCTGCTTGCGGGCCTTCTAGCCGTCGCTGCTGTGATTCCTGCACCACCATATTCGTGCGGGTCTGGTTGGTGGGATGGTACAGAAGACCACCAATGTTGTGCACAAACAGGGGATACAGAAGATCCGTGATCTTTTCCTTGTTGGCGAATTCTAAAGCACGCTCGAAGGGAATCCTACAGAATATTAGTCTCGACTTGTAAACTCAAGGTGATGAGTCGTACCACACGCCCTTCAAATGCATTGGGCCGATTTTCACGACATGGCGAATCTTCTCGCTTTTGAGAATTCCGTCTCGACGACCTCTAGTCATTCCCGCAACATTAAGCAGCTTAGTTCCATTGATCATGTGGTTGTCTGCGGAAGGTTTATTAGCAAAAGGGCTTCAGGCTTAATACAATGTACGATAATCTCACCTTCTCGTCGAGCAACGCAGACGCCCTTGGATTCCACTTGATAGCAAAGACTACCCTCATCCTCCCACAACGTGGCCGTGACTCTCGGCTTAGCTCCCGGGGGTGCTACTTGTCCGGTGGAATCATAAATGTACCCTTGCAGAGGCGCGCCAGTTGTGTTTGCATAGCCTTGAGTTGCAACGGGGTGGTTGGTCACTGTTCGCAGTCAGTATTCAATTGATCACGTAATTCCTAGAATGAAAAGGGTCGAAACGTACCCGGCAAAGGGAGCAATTGAGCTGGAACCTGAGCACTCATCGACGTCGGAGGCGGTTGGTGCCCTCCTTGTGACGTAGTAACGCCGCCAGGATAGGCATATTGCGAGTACGAGCTAGCCGGTCCGTACGAAGTCGAGGCGGGCTGCAGCACCGGTGGTTGCTGATGATATTGCGGGTAATGAGCGATCCCACCGGCAGTGGCCGCATGAGAAGCATACGGCTGAGCCGACGACAGATGCGAGGAGTGGACGTCCATGTACTGTTGAGTTTGGTTCATGCTGCCAAGCGAGCTTGGATGTGAATAGTAGCCGTCGCTCACCGGGTGTTGAGCGATTGAGTAGTCCTGTGGAGCGGATGAATCCAACGAAAGCCGACCCTGGCCACCAGCCGCGAGATCTCCGGACGGCGGCGGGCTCCTGGCCTCGTTAACGAGTGGTGTCGACCCCGACAGGCTGGTCCGCGCACTCGGGTTGTTTGAGCCGGGGACTGATGGGTCTTCGTAAGTAGCCCGATAGGACTGGCCCGAGATGGGCGGCTGCGAGGCCGTGGGTAGACTGAGTGCCGGTAGCTTATCGCCAGACAACAACGGTCTCTCTGCAGCGTGGTGGTTATACCAAGGAATATCAACAGGACCTCTGGTGTGGACCTGTGAAATCGACGGCAGCTCCAGTTTTTCGGTTTGCGGGGTAAACGGCTATAATATTTTGAGGAGACTGAAAGTGTTGGACGTTGGACTCGAACACGTCCAACGTTCGGCAGTTAAAGAGGTGTCTTTTTATGTTTTCTTTCCTGTTCACCCTCTCCTGTTCTTTGGTCGGGTCTTAGAAATCAAAGACTGAAATCAGCATGCAAAACTTGCCGTTGGTGATCGTTAAAAAAAAAAAAAAAAGTGGAAATTGGACAAAAGATATCAGTGGAGATATGTGCTGGCACTGAATCAGGAGGCAATGCAGAGAATCGTTAACGGAGAACTGAAAATAGCTTTGGTAATGCAATGCAGCAAAATGCGAGATGTGCAGTCGTAGCAGGCTCGTGGCAAGTCGTAAGCGTAAGATGAAATGAAGAACACCTAGAGATCGCTAGGTGCAACTGGACAGGGAGAATCGCTATGCAGTTTTGTGTACTGAGAGAAAGTCTAGATCCAGAAGGTTGGGCAGGTCTCGATCATCAACAGGCCAAACCATGAAAGTTGCTTTTTTTTTGTATTTTGACGAAACAACAAAGCGCTTGCAGATGGTCAACAGAAATCGCTCAACCAAATCAGAAGCACGAAATCATGGGTCTCGTTTCAAGTCGTAAGTAGGGGGCGAATAAAAGACGTGACAGTCCAGCATCAAACGTCGATGAGGGTCTTCTCTCGTGAATTCGGAATCTCCAACGATATTGTACCCGGGGAGGGAAGGGGGAGATTGGAGAAGTCGCAAAGACGAGCAACGAACGGTAGATCAAGGTTGGTGGTGGCAATTCGTAACAGTTCGTAGCAGGTCGTCGAGTAACAAATGGCGTGGTGCTGCTGCGCGGAAATACAAGTGGGAAAGAAAAAATGCGAGCAGTCTGTATGAAACAAAGCAAAAGCAATAAGTAAGCAGGGCGTTCAAGTCATCAGCATGATCATGCAGAATGGAAAACAGGAAAAAGAAAAGTCGGGTTCAGTTAGCGGTCGAGGAGAAAGAGTCCAGACGGGAAGCAGTATGTATGTATAAGAAAAGTGTCAAACGGAAGGGATGCCACACTAACGAGGTGGGCAAGGGAGGATGGGATGGGGGTGGGTGGGCACTGGGAAAATCAAAAAATAGAAATTCAAGCTCACGCATGCAGAAAGAGGGGAGGAGGGAGAGAGAGGGGGGCGAATGAGATATGAAAAAATAAAAATAAAATCATGCAATGAAATACAAAAACCAAAAAAAAAACAGAATGATCTCAGACACGTCGGAGAAGGATCATAGCACTGAGCCGACAGAAAAGAGAAAATCAAATACTAGGATAAAATCGGGAAGGAAAAGGTTTCAGGCGGTGGGGAGAGGGAAGACGCGCGCGAGAAGAGAGGGAAAATGAAATGATTGCAGTGCCGCAGGAGAGCAGCAGCAGATCATACACGAAAGGTGGAGGAGGCTGGGGGCGCACAGCAAACGCAGGCCCCAGACTAAGCCTAATTATTCTCTGCAGCGGCTGGGCGGGTTGGTGTTTCTGGACCACGCCGGCACGGGACTCCCTTCTTCTCTACGAGAAGATCTCCCTCTCTCTATATGAGAGATGGCGGGGAGGGAAGGGGGGGGGGGAGGGAAAGAAATACAAAAGGTCGAGACCGGGGAAAAGCAAAGGAAACGAAGGGGAACAACGAGAGGACGAATATGAGGACGAGGATGAGCGAAGGGGGGAGGGAAAAGGAAATCAAACCGAGCAAAGGGAGAGGGATATACCAGTTTTTGATCATTAATATTTCTTTTTTTGGTAACTTCCCCCCCTTGTTGGTTTTCGGGGAGAGTAATTGGCAGTAAAGTTCGAGCTGAAGGGGAAGAAGATGGGAAGTGAGAGGGGGGTGGGATTTCAGACGAAGCTCCGATCCATGGACGGCGAATCACTGGTTGACGGATGGGCCGAGGAGGGGAAGGTTGGGAGCGAGGATTTTGGGTCGAGAGGGGAAGAAGCCGGTGGCATTAATGTGCTTGACCGACCGAAGGAAAGAAAGAGGGAGGGGAGAACAGTCACGGCCGCCGTCCCAGAGAGGCTGGTGTACACACCCGTTTTTGACAGGTGCAAAATTCCAGCCAAATTATGGGGTTTAAAGACACTTCCAGAAAAACTCTCCCTTTCAGATACTAAGGTAGATCGGCATGAACAACACAATTCATCCCTTAGTATCCTCATCCAAAGGAGTCCCATCCGCCTTGGTACCAACGGCAGGTAATATCGGAACGGGCTGGTATGCTATACACACACCACCCCCGGCAGCAAGGAAGCATAGAAAACACGAAGAAACCCATCTCGACCACCACGAATTCGAGAACTCGGTGTAGGGGCGGGAGAGTAAAAACCACAAAAACACGAGAAGAAAAAGAAAAAGAAAAAGAAAAAAGAAAATCATTGACATACCGGCACGTGTTGCTGGTGAATTTCTTGAAATCACCAGTTTCTTTTGAGACCTGCTGCGCGGGAATGTAAGAGAAGCTGCAAGGCAATTATTGCTGGATTGCCAGAATGTCTCTGATGCTTCGAGCTTGAGCCGTGCTGGTCCGGCTTCTGGGCCTCGCTTTATCTATTGGAAAGCCCCGGCTGGTTCCGTTTTCTTGGGTCCCGTTTGGATTCGGTGCTGAAGAAAAGGAAACTTGAAGAGAGACTGAGAAAGAGAGATTGCGCCGGGGATAAGTAGCAAGTCACTGGACTGTCCGTCCCTATACCTACTAAGTACTTAACCTGTCCTAGATGAAGAGAGGGAAAATGATTAAAATAAAATAACAGCGATCGTAAAAAAAAAAAAAAAAAAAAATTAATAAAAAAAGGAAAAAAAAAAAAAGAAATGAGGGAAAAAAAAAAAATTTTAAAATAAAATAAAAAAGGGAAAATAATATAAATGTCAGCAACCCAAGGGCCAAGAGGGGAGGGATTATTAGAAAAATGAAATATTAAAAAGAAAATGGGGGTTTTTTTTCTTGAGAGAGATGTGGATCCCGCGACTAAAAGAAAAAAGAAAAAGGACAGGGAGAAAATATTAGGATTTTCTGGGAAGACAACAACCGTGCATCTTGCTTGCGGAAGAGCGGAGAGATACGCCGTCACTAGGATCTGCTGGTGCTGCGCTCAACTTTCTCTCTCGCATTCTCTTTTTCTTTCTCTGGCAGGGTCCAGAAGCCTGGTGTCAAGCTCAGACAGCGAGATTCTGGCAGAACCGCCACGAAGCAAGGACCACCGGCCGGATAAGCTAAACAAGACGCCGGACAGGAACCACCGTTTGGGCTAGGACAATGATGATCCAGTCGAAGCGCTGGGGACGGGGATTGGCCAGTTGGAAAAAGAGAGGGGGGTGAGAGCAGCGGGCAGAATAGAAGGTGTGGGTGGTGGATTGGGGGAGATTCTCGAGCAAATTGAACGAGGAAGTAAGAGAATAAAGAAAAAGGAAGAGGGGAAAAAACGTCCTTCACGTACCTGTGCGTCGGAATAGAATGAAGCACAATGGAATCAATAGAAGGTCGGCTCTGGAGTGGACAGCGAGGCTGGTACAGAAGTCCAAAGAACACCGTCCGATTCTGCAGGGTCGAGCCACCATTAAGAAACAATTCATGCCGAGTAAAGCCTGAGGATCACTAGTGACTGAGTATGGCTGACCACCTCGGGAGACCGATCTGATTAGGGAAAAGACGAAAATCAAAATAGATCTCGATCAAGTGGATTCGTCTCTTCTTTCCCCTTCAAACCCTACAGAGGATTAATGATAATATAGAGTGCAGTTACTCAACTACGAACAGATTAAGGATTTGCTCTACAGAGCGAGAGGGTAGTGGGGGGGGGGGGGGGTCAATAAATCAATAAAAAGCAAACCAAAAAAGAAAGGGCCAAAAGGCAGAAGGTAAAGGTGGAAAAGTACGAAAGACCAGGATGTTTGGAAAAGAGAAATAAAATTGCCAGACCTTCAAATTGACCGCGATGGCCGGTAGCCACTGTGAACTGTTGGGACCGATCGCGTTGCTGTAAGTCATTCGATCGTCCTGCGCTGCTGGGATGATGCTGGATCGGCCTGGAGGGACGATCGGTGAGTAGCCTAAGAAAAATGCATTATCATAATTTATTATTCTTCTAATTATTATGATAATATATTATCATTAGTATTATGGTTATTATTCAATGGCCATTAATATTCCCTGGACCGGTTAATCCTCGTCAGAAAAGAGAACCAAACCCTCTGCCCAATGCTCCGTGTACCTCGTCGCAATTTTTCCCTTCCTGCTGCCCCTTCGGCTAGAATAATAGAGACAATATACGGGAATATATTGGATACTATCCAGCAATCAAACTATATATCATGAAGGAGTCCCCTTTGTGTCAAGGTCGACGATCCTTCGAGAAGATCAATCTCAATAGATACGAGACAAGACAATGAATTTCATTACAATCAGAGGTCGTACAGACAAGAGCAAGAATCATTCGCATCCAGTCAAGTACGGCGTAGTCCGTCTGGATCGATAGGCGCTGAAAAACACCCCGGAGCTAAAGCGAAACAAAATGACGGATGAGATGACAGGCGTGTTCCAGGTTCGAACAGTTGTCTCCACGATGGAGCACTCGGGTCCCACTGCGCGAACCAAGGGCCGCCCGTAAGCTTTCCCACGGTTCAGCAACCTGAAAGTTACCAAATTACTTACGCGAAAGTATCGAGGAGGTTCCGGCGGTAAGCAGTCCTCCCCGGTTGCACCGTGAGAAGTAGATTGTCGGTTCCGGTGGATAGAATAAAGGTTTTTTATACTTCGCGGTACCTGCCTCCTTATTGACTTACATTGCTTCCTGATAGACAAGAAGCATAGTGTCATTATGCCAGGGTTTGGTTTTTTTCTTTTTTTTTTTTTTTTCCATTCCCGCGCAACAATAAGGTAGGTAGGCAACAGACTCCGGTAGGGTCGGTGTGTCCTGCTTGCCGAGATGGGCAGATGAAAAGAAAGAAAAAAGAAAAAAAGATAG